TGTCCATCTTAGCCCCCCCTCATTCACGGCGCCTGTCCATCTTAGCCCCCCCTCATTCACGGCACCTGTCCATCTTAGCCCCCACTCATTCACGGTGCCTGTCCATCTTAGCCCCCACTCATTCACGGCACCTGTCCATCTTAGCCCCCACTCATTCACGGTGCCTGTAACTGGCAGCTTGGGGTGCAACAGCAAAGGCAGCATGAATTTAATTTTTCTTTCACAATTTTGTGGAGGAAGATTTGTTCCTGTGAAAGCAAGAATGTTCACGTTTTCACTTAAAGGAGATGTCTTCACTGTGGCATATCTTAATGGCCAGTTATCACCACTCAGTTATTAATGCCATCACATGCTGACACAGTGGGTGTGACCCTTGGATGGGCTCCTGTACGATAAGGGCAGGCAATGCGCAATGGAGATTCACTCCAGAGGAGTGACTCGCCTGGGGGGTGGGGAGGAGGGGGAGGAGCTTTGGGGCAGGATGGGATTACATCACACTACTCAGCACAGCACCAGTTAAAACTTAGGAATTATTTCTGAAATTTTCTATTTGAAATATTCAGAGTGGTTGACCAAAGCCTAAGAAAATAAACCTGCAGGAAAGGGAAAACTACTGTAATTGAGAGATGATGTTGGCATTCATTTCCTGGTTTTCCTCACCATAATGGGGTCATGTAATTGTTCACATCTGAAGTTAAAGCCAACAGGCATTCTTCAAGGTGAAACAAGTTATTAAAATGTGTAAACTTATATGCATATTGTATATGTGTAGAAATGTCATCACACTTTGTCTTGGAGTTACATTAAACTAGAATCACTCTATAAAGAAGTTCTTCAGATAGTCTCTAAGTATGAAATTATTTTAGAACAAGTTAGAAATAAAAATTTGAACATTTTATTCACATGTATTAGTTGTTCAAGGGAGCATTAATACATGTTCCATACATGCATTAATAGACTTTAACCATATTCACCTCACCTGCTGCAATGGAGCTCCCCTCTCTCACTGGTACTGCCCCATATCAGTCTAACCTTCTTGTCACTCACTTCTCATTTTTAGTGCATAGTAATTGCCATGGTAATTTGCATATATTTGCATACATTATATTTTAGATTATCCTTCTCCGTTGCTTAATCTTTATCTCCCAAACCACTCTTTGATACAGATGCAGATATAAACACACATATGGTTTATCTCCATACCACTGTTTGATAGATACAGATACACATACAGTTTATCTCCATACCACTGTTGGATACAGATACACATAGACATACGGCAAAGCATGGTGCTTGGCTTTTTGACCTTGGCTTTTCTGGTATCTAGTTCCATTCATTTTCCTGCAAATGACATAATTTTACTTTCTTCATAATATGCACCATATTTTCCTTATCCATTTTCTGGTTGTTGGGCACCTTGGCTGACTCCTCCATTTGGCTATTGTAGATAGCTACAATAAACATGGGAGTGCGGACATCTCTCAGCTGTTCAACAAATAGATGATTAATATTCAGAATATACAAAGAGCTCACCAAGTTAAACAGTAAGAGAACAGCCCAATTAATAAGTGAGCAAATTAATTGAACAGACAGCTCTCAGAAGAACTACAAATGGCAAAACAGATACATGGTGAACTATTCAACATCCATAGCCCTAAGGGAAATGCTGGGAGTTGGAGCAGGTGGCGCCAAGCACAGCCGAGTTCTGGCCGCGTGGCGGTGCCCAGGGAACGCGGGCTGTGGGTGACACATCGCAGCTTCCCCATGGCCTGTGGGCTGCATCACTTGCTTCCAGATAAGTGTGTGAGTTTCTCAGGCCAAGGGCTCTGCCTTTTCCCCAGAGGCCATCCTTGCCTCTTGCTGCCACCAAGGAAACCACTTCTGTAGCCTCTTCATTCTGTCTTAATTCTAGGTTACTTTGGTAAAGTAACCTTTGGGTGATGTTACTCTCCATTGTTTTGTTTTGTTTTTTTTTCAGACATGTCTGTGTTCTACCTGTCCAAATGCCTAAATGGGTCCCTTCATTGCCTGTCTCTTACTGTATCTCCTTATCTACTTTCTGTGAAATTGGCTTAACTTTTTATTCAAGCCTTTCAGTGTTTGTTTACCATGAACTTTTCCTTGGTTCTTTCTTTACACTGATGTTCTGTGCCATAACATCTGGTTCTTGTTCTGTAGATCCATAGAAAAAATAACATTCTATATTGTAAAGTGAAATATGAGCTACAATGTATTAATTACTTTGATAGTTGTTTACAGAAGTCACAGTAAAATTGTATCTGAGCACATATCCTAAAATACACCTAAGTCCCTTCTGTACTGTCTTCCCTGTAGCGCAGAAGCTGGGCCTCTTGGCGCCTCCGCCATTACCACTGTCTGCACAAGAATGGGAGAGAGTGAAGCAGAGATCTGTCCTGCATGGGGACTCCAAGCAGCCATGCCCAATCTGCAAAGAGGAATTTGAGCTCCGCCCCCAGGTGCTTGGCATGTGGAGAGTTCTGCCCACAGACAATTGCATGGAGCCAGTTATGTTGGGCCTCCTCAATCTAGCTCCATCCTCCTGTGGGACTCGCCAATATATTTTCTTCATTACCAGTGAAAGTGTGAAGTGTGTGTGTGTGTGTGTATGTGTGAAAAACTAAATACCCAAGCCAGGCAGTGGTGGCTCACGTCTGTCATCCTAACTCAGGAGGCTGAGATCTGAGGATCGCGGTTCAAAGCCAGCCCGGGCAGGAAAGTCCGTGAAACTCTTATCTCCAGTAAACCACTCAGAAAAACCGGAAGTGGCGCTGTAGCTCAAGTGGCAGAGCGCTCGCCTTGAGCTGAAAAGCTGAGGGACAGCGCCCAAGCCCAGAGTTCAAGACCCATGACCGACAAAAACAGAAACTAAACACCCTCACTGAGCAATGTTAATTGTATTAAGTGATCTAAGTCCAGGCACAGAAAGTTGCACAAAAGGATACTTCTACAGGGAGCTGAGACCTCAGATGAGGTGCATTAAGCATTCGAGCCAGTTCAGGGTGGGTGAGTAAAAGGAAGGTTTTTAATTTTAACTTGAGTGGCATAAGAGAAAAAGAAAATATATACCTTCAAAGAATCTTTGAGAGAGTCCCTCTGTAAAGTAAGATCTTAAGTCCTTTCTTCACGTAACTGCCTTAGACGGATGGCATGGGACTAGAGCACATTTCTGTGCATATTCTTCCCAGCCGAGCTGTTAGCTCTGGGAGTCAGGGACACCCGAGTGCTCAGGAGTTTGTTGGTGCTAATGGTTGCCCTCCTTCCGTCTGTATGTCTTAATTCTAGGATTTTGCACGGTGGGTAGCATGAGCTTCCTGCATGGTAAGCACTTGGAAATTATAGCTGTGAGAACAGAGCAAGTACAGTGAAAGCCAGGCTTGGCATTCGCAGCCTAGAGCCCCCAAGCCTGACCCAAACTGAATTAATTTCAAGATGTTTCATGGTCTTCAGACTTTTGCTCTTTACTAATCTGAACTCATACGTTGTTTGCAACATGCTTACTACATTTCAGTTCAAGACTTAATATTGCACATGTGGAAGAGGAGTCCTCTGCAGCCTCTTTCTCAATTATCCTGCAACATGAGCTTGATTTTATGAAGAGTGCAAACTTAAACGGTCTTAAGGGGTCTCAGGACCTAGCAACATCTCTTCCATTCTGATGGAAGTGAGTTCTCATACAAAAGTAATTGTATCATTTTTATTTGGCTAATGATACATTAGTGGGTTTATTTTGTACTTCTAGTTATTATTTCCATGTTTTTCCTACTTAAAAATAGTAGGTGGCATTTTATGTGCACTGAGTGATTTCAGAGGGCCGTCATTTAATCTCATTTCTCTGAGGTACTCAACACATGTAAACAAATGAGAAATGATTCAGATGAGTCACAGTAGGCCAGCTCACAAGGTATAGCAGAACCAAGCCAGAATTGAATTCTAGCTTGGAAGACAATGTAACCACCACCACTTATTTTTGCTGTGTCAGAAAATATTTGCCAATACTACATTTTAAAGTATTCTAAAAGATGTTATTTAGTATAGACTACTAATAAAGCACTTTGAAAGATTATTCTACAAAGAACAGATGAGTCCACAGATGCTTTTAAATGTAATTTATTCACTTTAGACACTTTTCTCAACAAAGTTGAGAGTTTTTACGTCTGTTTATCCCAATATTCCTTTATTTCCACTTAAGAAGGAAAGTACAGAGGAGGAGAGGGAGATGGGAAGGGATAGTCCACTGGAGAGCCAGGAAGCCCTCCACACCGGCCGACCTGGCCGGGGAAAACCAGGAAGCCCTCCACACCGGCAGGCCTGGCCAGGGAAAACCTGCTCTCCCGGGACTTGGCTTCCTGCGGAGGAGACCTGGCCCTGCCGGCCCTCTCTACCTCACCCACTGTGCCTGCCTGGCATCCTTTTACTAAGCAGCACACACCTTTTATTTGGCATGAGCTTGTGTCTTGTGTCCACACCCAAAACATGACTGCTTGGGAGTCTGGGTCACAGAATGGTAAATTTTCTTATGAGTACATTTCTCCCTTCATTTAAAGAAGAAAAGGTGGTTTGTCTCACTAATTTTCTTGCCATTTGAACTACCACAATAGTATCTTGCTGGGTATGATGTCTCATGCCTATAATCCCAGCTACTCAGGAAACTGATACCAGACAGCCAAAAACCTCACAAGACCCCATCTCAACAGAAAAGGCTGCTGCTGCTGTCTTACACCTGTCATCCTAGTTATGCTAGCAAAGAGTAAATAGGAGGATCACAGTCCAGGCAGGCTTAGGCACAATTCAAGACCCTATTTCAAAACTAACCCAGGTGGGGCTGGGAAGGTGGCTCAGTGGTAGAGCGCTTGCCTTGCATGCATTAGGCCCTGGGTTCGATTCCTCAGCACCAGATAAGCAGAAAAGGCCAGAAGTGGTGCTGTGGCTCAAGTGGTAGAGCGCTCACCTTAAGCTGAAGAGCTGAGGGACAGCGCCCAGGCCCAGAGTTCAGGCCCATGGCCGACAAAAACAACAAACCAAAAAGCTAACACAGGTGAAAAGGCATGGGAATGACTTATGTGGAAAAGTCGAGTTCAAACCTTTACAAAAGAATAAAGAATTAGATCTCAATAAAGCTGTGCTTTTAAAGCTCAAGAGTGCAATTCATTGGAATAAATTCCATTAAAAGGTTTTTACTTAGCATTTCTTTGCTCCTTCTTCCCACCAGCCCACAAGTGAAGGTGAGTGCTTCCTGTCCACCTGCTCGGATCCATCACTGTTTCTCCTTTAAGCTCATTCCAGTAGCTTAAAATGAAACTTCTGTTTGCTATTGCAAGTTACTTTGTTTCTGTTCTTTCATATGTGTGATATCCTAAAAGCAGTGTAGACCGAAAGTGATCTGGTCTTTGGAATGTTTCAGAGCGGCGGTGTAGCTCGCCTTTAAGCAGACTGGGCACTGCACGTGCAGATGCCTCCACTGACCCTCGGTCTCTCTCTCTCCTTGTGGACAGGTGCTGCTCTCCTGCTCTCACGTATTCCACAAGGTGCGTTGCCCTTACCCAGATCCAGATGTCACAAGCATAGCTCACCGCAAGTCTCCCCAGAGAGCCATTTACTTTATCCACAGTCATTATTTGTTGTTAGAAAAATGACTGTAAGCTATAGTATAATTCATCCTGTTTGGAAAACCATTTTATGTGACACAAGAATCATGTTTGTACACCCAATTGTTGTTGCTGCATGTGGAGCTAGCATAGCTTAATTCTTGCATCTATCGGCATGACAATCCTGCACACAGTAAGGTTGACTTTTACACCAGTTGATTTAAAGAAGGTTTGGTGTTTCTACATGTGTATTCTTGTGAAACACCTTTGGGGTACAGGCTTCCTCAGGAAGGTAGTAAGGCCTGATGAAACGTCGCTTCTAAATCTAAACTGGAGTATCTTAATTATGAGAGAAAAGAACAGTATCATTGCTTAGAAGTAGAAATATTGTTTATAAGCATTGCGAGTAAAATTTTAAGTGAAATGTTTTTCTTCAGGCTTGCCTTCAGGCTTTTGAAAAGTTCACAAATAAAAAAACGTGTCCTCTCTGTAGAAAGAACCAGTATCAAACCAGAGTGATCTACGACGGGGCACGTCTGTTCAGAATAAAGTGTGCCACAAGGTGAGGAGGACTTGCCCCTTCCTGGGCCCTGCGGGCTGGAGGGGCTGCCGGGAGCCGCAGCACGCAGGCTGTGATAACCGGTGGTTATCAGAAGACAGCTACCTCTCCATCACTGTTACTCCCCAACGTCCAGACCAGCCCAGGGCCGGCAGGAGCTCCCGAGTGTCTGTTGAGGTTGTCATTTTCTAATCTCTGCTTTAGAATCCAAGCCTGCTGGAGAGGCCACGTTGTTAGGAAGTGGTATCGAAACCTGAGGAAAGTAGTGCCCCCCAAGGACCCCAAGCTCAGGAAGAAGTTCTTGGAAGAGAAGGTAGGTGTGTGTGTCACTGATCTCTGTCCCTGTATCAGGATGGGAGCAGGGGCAGCGCAGCCGTGGTGCTCTTCTTCCATTTCCAGGGCTTTGGGAACACGTGAGTTCCGCTCCTTTCAGTGATTTTCCAGCCTCGGTGCGTGAGATGATGATGACTGGGTTAGATTCAAAGCAACATCATTTGGCTATTTCACATCAACTGTCTAACTAAATCTTTTCTGATAAAGGAAAGAACTTGAACATCTACATATCCCCTGATCTGATCTGTAAGTCCCAGGGTGCACAGTCCAGCCTGGGTAGCCGGCGACCCACAGCCCTAGCAGGACCAAGGGTGCTGCCTGCCCAGCGGGCCTCCTGAGGAGAGAGGAGGCTTAAATAAAAGGAGTGGTGTTTGTGGTGGGTGTGAGTAGCTAAAAACACCCACTTTCCCCACTGAAGCTCTAACTCCCAAATGAGAATCTAAAGTTTGGCCAATAGAAGAGCTAATATTTTATAAAGGAAAGATTAATGTGCCTTGTTAGGTAATAAGTATATACATTTGGCAACTATGAAAAAATAGGCAATTGATGAGCAGTAATAAATACGTAAGAAAATATGAGTTCTTAGTCTACAGTAGGGGGTATACTTCAAGTTCGTGAGGGGGGAAATTGAGAAAATTATGCTGGGAAACTTAATACATTTTATATGGAAGAAAAAGAACACTCCTTGAGACCATATCCCCAGGAAAGTTCCATAGGGATTAAATGCCTTATGCTTTTCTTTTTCCTCGTGTGTGTGTGTGTGTGTGTGTGTGTGTGTGTGTGTGTGTGTGTAAGTGCATGCGCGTGCACGTGCTTGCATGTGTGCCAGTCCTGGGGATTGAATTTAGGGCTTGAGAGCATTGTCCCTGAGCTTTTTTGCTCAAGGCTAGTGCTCTACTACTTGAGCCATAGCTCCACTTCTGGGTCTTGTTTTTTGTGCTTTATTGAAGATAAGGGTCTCCTGGTGTTTCCTAGCTTTAACTGTGATCCTTAGAGCTCAGCCTCCTGAGTAGCTAGAATTACTTAAGTGAATAAGTGAAATTCCTAGGATCAAAAATAGACAACATCCTGGGTGTCATGGCTGGTAAGGCAGGGAGCTGTAACAGGAAGCAGGAAGTGCGGGGGGGGGGCGCGGCGCTGGGTAGGCCCCTGAGACCCATTAGCCCTTATTTTTGTTGTTGTTTCATTTTGTTTATTGTCAGTCCTGGGACTTGAACTCTGGCCTGGTTTTGTTTATTGTCAGTCCTGGGGCTTGAACTCTGGGCCTGGACACTGTTCCTCAGCTCTTCAGCTCAAGGCGAACGCTCTACCACTTGAGCCACAGTACCACTTCCTGTTTTCTGAGTGGTTCACTGAAGATAAGAGTCTCACAGACTTTCCTGCCCAGACTAGCTTTGAACCTCAATCCTCAGATCTCAGCCTCCTGAGTAGCTAGGATGACAGGCGTGACCACCAGTGCCCAGCTCCCCTTAGCCTTTAGAGGGAAGCTTGCTACCAGCTCCTCTGCTTCCTGAGGTAGCTTGTCCTTGACAAGGCAAAAATGACCTTTATCTTGTAAGACATTGCAACAATAATTTTTAGTAAAAGAATTTTTGTTCATATGTATATTAACATCTAGAGGTTGCAGCTATTTTCCTCTTCAATTTTAATCTTACAACAAGAATAAATATTTCAGCGTTCAAATAAGAACAGCTTAATAGCAAATGCTACAAGCACAGTAGCACTGCACACATTGTTGAATCACACACCAGAGTTTTTTCTAATGATAGAAACAGAATTTTATTATTTTTATCAAGAAACAAACTTGCGTGTTTCAGCAAAAAAAAAAAATTTCTTTGAACTATTTGCTTTCTATTCAAAACCTCTAAAATACTTCATTTAACATAGGGTTTCAAGTAAAGTGAGGCCTTAAAATCAAGGGATCTCAGATTAAGACACTGACAACAATATATAACTGCTGCCTTTGGGGTCCCGCTCTGTGTATTCATTCTTACTTCATACTTCTGAAAGCTCTGAACTAACCTAAAGTGCTAAAACATAAAGTCCAGCTTCTGATTAATCTGTGTCTGTGTCAAGGTTTCCCAACAAGATCCACTAAGAATAAATTCCCAAGCCAGAATGAACAATGGCCGCATGGAGACGCTTTGTCATAGGTTAGCCACATTCCAGAAATGCCAGGTTCTCTAGGTAGTCTGGAGGCCCCAAGGGTGTTTTCTCAAGCCTTCTGCTCCCACCCCTCCCCCAGCTTCACTGTGCACCAAATGTCAAATCAATGAACTATTAGAAGATCGAATGTTTACATTTTAAGAAACTGGAAGTTTTACCAAACAAACCGTATAGTAACTTAACAATATGAGATGTACTAAATTCTTAATTATCTGGGCAGACAATAGTTCTTTTAACCTGGGAATGACATGTGAAACTGTCATTAGCTCCATTCCTAAGCTGCATCTCCATCCCCCAGGACTGATTGTTAAAGCAGTGCAAATTCACCTTATATTTAATATAAAAATTGAAATGGCAAGTTACTAGAAAAAAATAAGTCATGGCACATTCTAAAGTTAAATCAACATTTGCCCATTGCTTCCACCAAGCAGCTGGCTCCTTTTCTGGAACAGCTCGGTTCAGGTTTGAATCTCAAAGGTTTACAGCATTAAGGAACCTGGAGAGAAATTTGGGGTTTCAAAAGTTATTGCTAACTTTTCTAACCTTTCATTTTACTAAGTAAAGGTTTTAGTTAAATAACAAAATACCATATACTACATGGATGCCCATGGCTCACCCCTGTAATCCTAGCTACTTAGGAAGCTGTGATCTAAAGATCAAGGTTTGAAGCTGGCCAGGGCAGAAAAGTACCAGACTTTTACCTCCAATTAACCAGCAACATGCCAGACTAGAGGCATGGTTCAAGTGGCAGAGTACCAACTATGAGCAAAAAAAGGCAAATGAACGTGCAAAACCCTGAGTTCAAGCCCCTGACCGGCACATACATATATAACAAATACCATGTACTGTCAAAGTCATTTGATAAACAAAGCTGTTTTAATGGCAGGAAAACAGTCTGAGAACGTTAAAGAACATTCACTTTCAATGCAGACTTAGCTCTCTAAGAACTTCAGTCCAAAGGTAGTTTTCTTTCCTCTGCTGGCAGATTGGTGAAATCTTGTTTGCTATACCTGAGCCCTGGTGTAGATCACATTACAAACTGTCTGTAGGAGAAAAGATCCCCAATAAGCAGTAAAGAAAGGAAAGGAATATGACAGGCATTCGATGAATGAAGGGTGTTGCCAGTTTCCTAGTTTGTTTCATATTCTAGGATACCTACATCTTTAACACTCCAGGCCATACAGGCTGTCCTATTTCTGTAATCAAGCTGTTTGGCTTTCAGAGAACTGTGGCATTGCATTTTCCTTCTTCCATTCTGGGGAGAGTTGGTGAAGTAAATAATCAAACACCATGATCCTCTTTCTACCAGGCAGCTCCTGCTCTTTGAGAAGTTCCCTTCTCAAAGGTGCCTTGCTTTAAAATATCATCACCCCGGGCCTGGAAAGGTGGCTCAGTGCTAGAGCGCTTGCCTTGCTTGCCTGAGGACCTGGGTTCGATTCCTCAGCACCACATAAGCAAAAAGAAAAAAGCCGGAAGTGGCACTGTGGCTCAAGTGGTAGAGTGCTAGCCTTGAGCTGAAGAGCTGAGGGACAGCGCCCAGGCCCAGAGTTCAGGCCCCACGACCGGACTCCCCCCCAAAAAAAAAGTATGGGCCCAAATATCATCACCCCATTCCTAGCAAAACTGAACCATTGCAAAGGGATAGAGAGCTACAATAAAGCTTCTTCTCAATATGTCAGGGTCCTGTGGTAAGCACAGAAAAGGTCAGATGTTGAGTTCTGCACCCATCAGTGTCAGAGACTTAAAATTCAGTCAGAAAGGCCTTTGTCAGAGAGAGGGACAATACAGTAGTCCTGCTACACTTACTTAGGCATTGGCATTCACGTTCTGAGAACTTGGATCAAAGGGCCTGGAAAGGTCACTAAGGCTGTTCTGTGAATTCCCCAGCCCTGTGTGTGTACCAAAGGCCCAGAGTGCGTGGCCAGCCCTGAAATGCCTTTGATCCTTATCTGAAAGTTCTGCTCGCATCTGTCATATAATTGAGGCATGGTCTTTTATTGCTGCAATTAAAACTTTTCAAATGCATTATGTTATCTCCACCCCGCTGAAGGCCCCCCCATTGTTTAAGAGGTGAGGTTAGCAATCTGTCAAATGGGGGCCTGGCCTGGGGCCCTGGCTCCCACACAGCCCGCCCGGGCCCTGGCTCCCCTTCTCATTTCCATCTCACCAAACAGCATAATGGTCCTTGAGTTTGTTCAGTCCTTTGACTTCCTTTATCACATAGAGATGGCAAACATTCTGTTGCTAACTTGAAGTGGCTCCAAGCACCAAGACTGGAAGGATATTAAACCAGTAAAAGCTTATCAACTGATGCGAATTCCAGGTTTTCATTTTGCTTTTGAGGGTGGTCCTAAGTCAACACATTAGTAAGCAATTTGCTGACACAAGATGGGTCACTTAAGACCCTCCAGAGTTTACTTGGTGATTCGTTAGTATCTGTAAATTTTAATGTTTAGCCACTGTGTTACTTGCATGATCAGTAATTGCTTTGCATAGTGCTGACCTGAACTCCTAGTTACCAAATTCGGAAAGTATCTGAAATATGAGAGTGGGAAAATATATTGATACTCATTCTTTTTAAAACTGAAAACTACATATAACTGTTAGTTTAAAAGCTAGAACTCAACAGTAAGATTTTTCTTCTTTTGCTGTACTTTCATTTATTAAAGGTCATGGACCTGTGTAAGAGATGAAAGGAATCAAGAGAAAAGAGCCTGGGGCTCGAGCCAGTGTGTGCTCCAGCAGTGCTTAGTTGGTACCACATTTAGGAAATCACTGTGAGGAGCTGTTCGTGGGAGCAAGTGGTAGATACCTGCGTGTCTGTCCAGGACAGTGCTGTAAGACAGCAGCTCAGTCCCCAACCCGTGTCAGCAGGGAACCCCACAGAAACGGGCATTCCTCCTGCAAGCCCCCGTGCTAGGACTGCACGCGCCCATTAAAATCACTTAGTCTCTACTAAGTATATTTCATCGTCATTAACCATCATTACACATAAAAGGAATTCTTTTTCACCTTTAAAAGTACTTTTAATTTAAGGAAAAAGAATGAGCTATTGATAAATGTGGAAGTTATATTGTTTGTCGGACTGAAGAATATCCATGTACAAGTTAAATGTAACTCTGGGTAACAGCATGAGAAAGACATTCAGCCTTCTTTCATGGGCTGACACTTGGAGGTTTTGTGCTTTGCAAACGTTTGTGTTGACTGAGGCGGCAATGGGCAGAGCTCTTCCCAGAGCCTGGGGGCTCCAGGACGGGCCCCTTTCAGCCGTGGCATCTACGGCCAGGCCCTGCCTCCACAGAGAGGAGACAGACTGTAAATACCACGTGTGAAGATACTAAACGTGGCAGGAGGCAGTCCTGGTCAGGGAGGGGGGAGGAAATGACCAGAGGCAGCCCAGGGCAGGCAGGCAGGCAGGTCCCCCAGGACCTGGCAGGACACAGGGGTTGCGCCTCCCTGGAGGGGGGCAGGCAGCAGTGGGGTGGGTGGAGCACGGCCCGTGAGCCGCCCTAGGGGCAGGGGCAGGCACACGTCCAGGTCCAGAAGTGGGCTGACGGCTGACGGGCACCCACCCTGGTTCAGGAACCCAAAGGCGCACTCCACAGGGACAGCGCGAGGAGCTGCCCTGGGCATGCTGGCAGGGCCCACCCTAGGAAACAGAAGCAGGTGTGTGTGTGGGGGGAGACAGGGATGCGGAGTGCTAGTGAGAAGCCAGGAGGCCGGCAGGCACAGGAGGCAGCGCCGGGCTCCCCAGCACAGCTCCAGGCAGAGAATTCCCAGAGAGGAGGTGCTGAAGGTTCCAATGACAGCAAGGGAAGCTGCTGCGGACGGAACCTTGCAAAGGTGCCGTCAAATGAAGTTCTACTAAGTGGCCTGTGGCCTTCTGCTCAAACTGCATGGCATCTAAATATTCACTATTCAATGTTTCTCCCAAGAAAAAGTTCTAAATTATTAGCATGGCTGGGTGCTGGTGACTCAGACCTGTAACCTTAGCTACTCAGGAGGCTAAGTCTGAGATCGTGGTTCGAAGCCAGCCTTGGGAGGAAAGTCTGTGACACTCTTTAGCACCAATTAACTACCCAAAAAACTGAAAGTGGAGCTGTGGCTCCAATGGTAGAACTACTAGCCTTGAGAAAAAAGCCCAGGGACAGCACCCCGGCCTTGACTTCAACTCCCAGTACCAGCACAAAACAACAAACAACCCCCCCATACAGTTACTTTCTATATACCAACTATAAATAGGACAAGAGGAAATTAGAACATTTACACTCACAATAGCCCCCCCTTGCTAAATAAAGAAGATACCTACAAATAACGTAGGTAAAGTGCATGAAAACTTCTACCATAAATGATGAAAAGGGCAATACCGAACAAGATGCATGTACTCATAAACTGACAGGCTGGACTGAAACCCCTAGTACAAATATATGAAGACAATTTTAATTATATAAGCAAAAAAATTATAAAATCTTGAAGTTGAAAAAGACATCAGCTAAAGCAGCGTGGAAGTCGCCGCTGTGACCTTTGCGCACTGTGGCATGCGCCATGGCTGTATTGCGAGTGGGCCCAGTGCATTTATGAGAGCCCCTTTACAGTTAGCTTCACTTTGCTGTTGTCAGTTCACAATCACAGTGACATTTAAGTACAGAACCACTAGTCCGCATTTTGACTACACTTTTCAATTATGGGTGGGAAAAATCATGTAAGGGCTTATGGAAAAATGGGCCAAGGCTGGCCAATAAAACCTGAACAACTTTGTAAACAAAACATGAGAGCCACTGAGAGACAGGTCTCACTGGGCAGCCTGCATTAACATCCTGAGAGCTGGGGTTACAGGCATGTGCCACTGTGCCCCGGCAAGATCAGTCTCAGCTCAACCCCTCCAAACGTCTAAGGCATGTTAATTTCATTAAAAAGTACAATAATCATAAAATGCTGCTTTTTAAGAATGAGATGGCAGCACATTAAAGGGTAGGCAGGCAGAGAAGCGTGGACCCCTCCTAACTGGAGGGGAGAATCCGCAGAGGCGTCTGGAGGAGGGCAGTTACCAGGCCACGGGAGGAGAGGCCTGGCATGAAGCCAGGGGGATGTCGCCCCTCGCTCAGCCCGGCCGCAGCTCACGCACTTGCTGTAGCACGGCGTGTTGCTTTACCCTGGCAGCTCATGCCTCTCACCCTTTAGGAGGTGGCTGACCACGTGACCCAGCCAACCAGTGATGGTCCACGTCAGTCAGCTGTCCCAAGGCCCTCAGCTTTCTAATTTGTCGTAGATCAAAACCATGGTACTCAGCCAGGAGCTGGGGGCTCCTTTCACACCAAAATAATTCTGTCAGTGCCCACAATGGGAAGATGGCTGGCAAGCACCAGGAAATGCAGCAGTGTGCACGGACGGCCCCTTAAAGAGGAGGGGTGCCCATGGAGTCCTCTTCTTGTCCACTCTTAGCCTAAATGTGTCCCTCCCTGAGTTAGGGCTTACGGCCAAGTATACTGTAAGGGAAGAAAATAGTTTTTCCCTTCCTTCCTCAATTTTCCACTGCAGCCCCATAAAGGATACTAACAGAAGTGCTCGCTTAGTGCGGGGGAGCGTCAGGAAGTGAACACGGCAAGATAGGAGACAGCTAAACCTAGGTGGGACTGGCGGGGTGCGCGGGTCGGGCAGTGCCGGCGGGTTTCCGAGGTGCCGAGAAGGCCGTGTCACAGGACTTGGCAGTGGGCAGCAGTGCGCTTCAGTGGGCGGCTCTGCTGTGCTCAGTTCGCAGAAATCAGTCACCGCCTCCTGTGCTCGTACCACAACAACCTGGACGAGCTCTTCTCCGAAATCGACCACTGCCTGGCCATCAACCGAAGCGTTCTTCAGCAGTTGGATGACAAGTGTGGCCACGAGATCACAGACGAGGAGTGGGAGAAAATCCAAGTGCTGGTAGGCATCAGACCCGGGTCCCTGTATCTCCAGGGGCAGGGGCAGGGGCAGGGGCACCGCAGCCCGGGCTGCAGAGGAGGAGGGCCGAGGGGGCAGGGTGGGGTCTGCCCTGGCTGCACTCACACCTACCACACCACACCACACACCACACTACACACCACACACCACACCACACCATGCACCATACCACACCACACACCACACCACACCACACCATACACCACACCACACACACCACACCACACCATGCACCACACCACACACACCACACACCACACTACACACCAC